ATCAAAAAAAATATAATCAAAGGACTAACTGTTCTCTAACAGAATAAGAAGTTTTCCGTTATCTTTGACCAAGTAGAAGAAATTGAAATGAATCTGAAAGTTAATAGACCAGTTAGAAATAAAACATAGTTTCTAGACTAAAATGAAATTAAGGTGATAGTTAATAGACTAAAAATTGAATTAAGCCATTCTGACAATTTTAAAGATGCATCTCCAATATTAATCTAGTGTATTTAAAGAAATTAATTTATTTAAGTGCTAATTCCAAAACTTGAATCTTGAATCTATTTATTAATTATAGAAAGAAATGTCATTTGGAATAATTTAAAGATATGTTAAAGATGGGGCCCTCTTAATGGCATTTATAAAAAGAAAAGGTCCCACCTAGCTTATTTGATTAAAATTAACATAAACTTTCATGCCCACATTTAATATAATTTTAATTTATAACAATTAATTAATTATTTCAATTTCTTAAACCAACTAATTATTTAACTTTAATTAATCAAAAGGAAATTAACTAGTAAAGAAACAAAATTTTGTTCTATTATTGGAAGAACCTAATGGGAGCCTAGGTTTTTCAACTCTGGCGCTTCTCTGAACTTGAATTCAGAATCAAGTCATCATCAATTTGTACACATGCCACACTAATCCTATCTGGAACAAACTCATCATCAATTTTAGTTGCAATGTTCTCTCTTTTCTGGCACATCTCTAGCAAATTCTTTCTTATCTAGTAGAAACTCCTATAAATGATTCTAAGAGCACATCGCATAACATAAGGGAAAAACTTAAAGAATCTAAATAAACAAAATCCAAAAGTCTCATTTCATAATCCAAATAAAATTTAGAGCCTTACAACTAGGGAATCTAGAAAGAGCAAATCTAATGCTATACAGTTCTTGGATAATGCAAAACCAATGAAGGCACCTTCTTGAAAACCCAAAATCTGAGTTCAATTGAACTCACAGGTACATCTAATATTTAAAAACCTATAATCTATGTTTTCACAACCCAAATCTAGGTTCATCTATCAACCTTGTTTGAACCCATTTTGTAGGTTCACAGAAAGCCAGAAAGCTAGAAAGCCACAAACCCAATTTTTGGGTTTAGAACCTAGAAAAAGGGTTCAGAAGGAAAGGAGGAATGGAGGTGAAGGTTGGGTGGGAGAAATAGGGGAGCAAGGA